ATTTTGGTTTGCTTAGGATTTATTCTAAGCATCCATGAGTTGCAATATGAAGATAGTACGTTAAGGCAGTTTTGTAGACCTTCGTCTGGTTTCCAGGTGGCCGGCCCTCCTCTTGCTCCTTTTGAATTTCACCTACATTGATGACTTGCACCAGGAGTGCATCCTTCTATTCTTGGTAATTTTCTGCTTCAGAGGCAGCACTGTGCCGATTTTGTCCCCACAAAACGTGTTAAGAGGGAATCCACCAGGACATTGAGTAATTTTGATTTTTAGTGGACAAAAATCTTTTACCAGAATAATTTAAACTTATTGCATTCTTTCTTACATTTTTCAAGGGCCAAAGTTGTAATAATTCACCTGTAGAAACACCAAAAAAAATTTCTTACGGGAGGCCGAGAAAATGAAAGTCAGATTTCACAAAATTACAACTTGCACACGAAATTTTCAGACTTTTACCTGCGTAATCTCGATTCTTCTGAAATTCGACCTTCATTTTCTCGGACTTCCATGAGATATTTCTTTGGTGTTACTACAGATGATTTATTACGTTTTTGCCGTTTTTTAAATGTAAAAAAGAATGCGACATTGTTTAAATTATTCTGGTACAAGGTTTTTGTCCACGGAAAAATAAAATTACCCAATTTCCTGATGGATTCTGTCTTGAAAGTGTTCGCCATTTTCTCATACTCTGCACTGCCAGAACATCTGAGTCAAAATGCCGCCCCACGGCACTATTCGGCACGCGACGTCTATCGTGGATAACTTGCTGTCATCCCCTCATAGACGTCAAATCAGATCAGTGCTTGCTGGTTATGAATAATTCGGTCAAGAAATTAAAGCCGATCGGAGAGGGACGGAAGATAATAATACCAGACAACCATATCTCGAGCAACCAGGCTCTCATGGGCAGGCCTGGTTCCTTAGGAGGCATGTGCGCGGGAGCACCTCCTTAAAAAGTTTTGCTGCCTGCTTTTGAACACTATTGTTACCGAGCAAGCCATGTTATCTGCATGTAATAACTTTATATCATTATATCGTTACTCCAAGATCTCCAACCTCGTCCCCAGGGCTTTTCCCATTTTTTAAGGGAAAAGCCTTGGGGACGAGGTTGCAAGATCGCGGGAGAGAAATCGAGCTAGTAAAATAAAAAGATTTATGTGGGCTGTGTGTATGGCTAATATTATACACTTAATGTCAGATCCCGAGGGAAACAGTTCGTTTTGTTTTCCCAAGAGTCCTGATGTTTCCCGAGTCGAAGTCGAAAGCAACCAAAGAATAACCGGAGCGAACCAAAACAGCCGACTCGGTACTTATAACAACACAAATTTAATTCTCTAAACCACTTAATGAATGATTTACAAAGTACTTTCCTTACATTTTCTGCATCTTTTTTCTCCACTAGCTGCTGTTTTCTTCTAGGAACTTCTGGGATGACTGGAAAAATCGTTGCTTTTTTGCTTGAGGCTTGGTTTTTGCGTTGTTGTGTTCATTCACGAAAAAGAAAACTGGCACGACCTGGCAGTATTTTTCTCGCCTTCTGTCACGCCACTTTCCACCATGATTTGATCATGTGCTGTAATGTACTAGCCCGAGCCAAACCCCGAGTGGGGTACATTGCTTTTTTAGTCAAGGCCACGTGACAAAGAATCAACCAATGGCAGTCCCTGTTTAGTTGAGTGAAAGTCTAGGAATGTCACAACACATCATAACACTTGCACCAGTAAACCATGACAAGTCTGATGTTCGCGATAGGCCAAATTGGCCTATCAATGGCAATGGCAGATACTAATACTCTTTGTTCACGCTTTACTGTTTTGTAGCCTCCCCGCAGACGTCCTTTGGGGTTCCTTTGTCACGCATTCATTTCTTGACAAACGAACCCCAAAGGGTATCTGCGGGGAGGCTAACTGTTTTGTCGATAAGGTTCAACCGAGGCGCCAATATCAAAGCGTTTCACATACGAATTAAAATTCATACATCATTCATGTTTCAAAGTTTATTCAAGTGTACTGTCACCTGAGTCTCGTCTTTCGTTCTCTCATTCAATTCTCCACGAAGAAAAAAGCTTTACACGGCATCAACTGTTCATTTCATTTCGAAATTGTAATGATATCATTATGAAGGCGGTGATGCAGAATATGTAGATTAACTATGCACGATCAGGAAAATGTTGTTTTAAAAACCATATAGTCTTTTTAAAAAAAGCAAGCGGAGTTTTCCAGGATATTGAACACTCTTCATAATATTGACCCACTTATTTTCCTTCATGCTGACACGTGCCTGTTTTGAGGTCATAGCCTCTTTTATTCTTTAGTTTCTGCGGCTTGTTCTCCATGGCCGGATAAGGAAATCTGGAGACTTTGTAAGGAACAGTTTAAACGTTTTTAGAACTGGGAATAGAATAACCGATAAGAACCACCTGGATTATGACCCTGACTGAGACAATTTTTAGGAATTTTGGTAGGGATAGCGGTGTTCCGGCCCCAACCCGAAGTGGTAGTTGTCTCAAACCCCCGTGAGAGTAGATTTGTGGTGTAACTACACCGTGACATTTTGTTACGTGAGTATTATGGGGTGTCATAACATGTGCTTTTCGCTCTCGAAGAAAATTGCAGTCAGAAGTCTGTAAGATTTGTTCGTGATTGAGCAGTAAAGTTATTGCTGTTGCTATCAAGAACAGAAGTTGTTTTGGAATTCGAGCAGAACAGGCGGGGTTGAAAAAGCCAACGACAAACTGGCCCCTATTATGAGTGTTACAGAGATGTGCGTATTACAGAGGAACGAATTGTACATGACTTGGTATCTTTGGACCATTGAGTTAACGTTCCGCAATAGAGACGTACAGCTGTATATTAAGTATAGTAGTGGCCTTCTGACAGAGCACTGAATTGTGAGGCTAATTAGGGCACCACTTGAAACACTTCAAGATGAATTTTACATGATATTGTGCCTCAAATTCTTGAAAACAATACTGATATACTAATGAACATTTGTGGCGCACAAACACCGTGGGTTGAGACTCTGCAAGTTCTTAAGGAAACAGTTACGTGTTTATACGTCTTGTCCATGTTGACGTTTCATTGGAGAGGTTCGACTAAATTACAATTCTTGCTTCATACTTTTAAAAACTGATAAGGCTTGAAAAAATCGTGATAAAATGTATGCATCTGTATTAAGCCTGCGCTCGAGTGTTTCGATCTGTATTCCATTACACGCTTTCTGCTTTGTTGCGTCTTTTCTACACACGCACGCGTATTATACGTTTGTAATTTGATCCTACTTACTTGAGCATCTCAAAGAATAGGAACTTTAATTTGTAGCGAGCGTTTTGAGTCAGTGGAATCTAATACTGACCACAAAATCCGGCACAGTCTTTGCCACTTAGAAAATAACTCCAGACACAGCACAATTAGGACCTTTCCAGTCTTTCGTATAAATATTTTCAAAAACGCCGTCATTTCCGCAATGTCTATAAAAGAAGAATTTTGTACTCATTTGAAGGTTTTTTTATTGTTGGTAAATCATCTTTGTAAATTAGGGTGGCATATTCTTAGAATTGTATTTAACTCATCCCAGCCACAGAAATGCTGTAATCACTGCCGGATCCAGACCATGAAATAAGGTGGGGCGGTGTCCAAAAAATTTTTATCGGCCCTTCGGGCCTCAGTTTGGTCTAAATATAAGCCACTGGTTATGTAACGAATAAACAATCTATAGATCCGTGTATCTATCCAAAATGTATGCCAATATTATATGGGTATTATCTGTGGTATTTATCATGGGTCCAACATTGTGTTCTCTTGTTGTATCTTCTGGCAGAGTATCGGCGTGACAGAGAAAAAGTACCTCTCGAAAAACTCTAACATGAAATATGTAACGAGTATTGTGCCGGCATTTCGCGCTAATACTTCCGAAAGGCACTGCCTGTCTTCTTCAGGCTTTGGGATATTACATGTTACTGCACCCTAGTCCAAGGCTCTGTGTAAGTTTACAATTTTTTTTATCATGTTATTTCTCAAAGTTTGCTTTATACAGTTTGAAATAATAATAAAATATTTATTTAAACTTGCCGAAGAGAATTGATTGGTTTATTTTTTTCTAACGAAAAAAACTTCAAACTTCGTTTGACTCAGACAAAAGAAGGCAATTAGCAATGGCCGTTTTCACACTGGATACGGATTATCCGTCTGAGACGGGTTATGCGTTGGATAATTCGCGCTAGACAGATAATAATTTGAAAAAGGAACGGCTTTAATTTTTTGATGAACAATCCACCTGACTTAAGCCATCTGGTCATCAGTCAATTTTGACGGATTTTGAAGATGGATTATCCGTCTCCAGTGTGAAAACTGCCCTGAATGATGAGGAAATGAAAAGACATACAAATGCCAGGGTGGCCCCAAAGGTCCGAGCTTAATTCATTCCTTCAAGCATGAAGCACTTATTGGTGCAATTGCTTCTCTCTCCTAGACGGGATTTTAGTCCATTCCGTGGTTACTCCTGGAGAAGGTTGTCCGGGGGCCCCAACAACCGTTTTTTTTAAATAAAATATCTTTGCGAAGAAGGACATATCACTTGAAGCAAGCACATATTACTTGCTCGGGAGAGGCTACTCCAGTTCTCAGATTTTCCGGCGCAGATGTTTTTATAACTGGTGGGTGTGCCCACAAGCAGGGAATCAACTGCAGTTGATCAACCTTTAGTAAAAATATTGAGTCGTGCTAAGTTAGGTAAGAGGAACATTCTAAAAATGTAAGTATCACTTCCCAATCTTACCTTATCTTGACCAGTTTCCATTTCACTAAAAGTGCTTTTCGGAAAACTCTTAAAGATCGCATCAGTGACACTTAAAATTGTATAGAGCAGTATTGATGGGTAGTGAACAAAGAAACGTGCAGTAACTCATGTTTAGACGTCAATAAAGTTGATAGCTTTCACTGCCGTCGTGTCATTTCTCTTTCATAGCGCCGAGTTGAGGATCAAGGCAACAAGCTTACACGATGGCTCGCCTTTTGTTGCTTTTAGTCGCAGGGATGATTTTTACAGCTCATGCATCCCTTATCGCAGAGGTAAGTGAACTTTTTTAAAAAAAGATAGCTCCAAGTGTTTTTCTTTGCTTTTTCATGAGTTTCACTGTATTCATTTGAGTTAAATCTCTTTCTACGGCCAGTACATACAAAAACGGAAAATTGTATTTAGCTTTTTTTTAATCACGCATTATATAATATAATTCCATGACGTACGTACAAGTCCATTAACTTTTTTTACTTTAGAAAATATAGTTACAAACTAGTCGGAACAACCGATCAAAACTCAGAAAGTTAGGTTTTTACTTGGCATAACTTGAAACGTGAAATTCCCTATCGCAATAGGGTTTAGTATTGAAGTTGTTTGGAGTGCTAAGAAATTTGAGCGTAGTTTCCTGATGTGGTTTGAGGTACTTCGATCAAGTACCAAGGGCCAGTCCATTCAGAGCTTTGTAAACCAGCAGAAGTACAATTTGAACAGAAGGAGGTAGGAAATCGGAAGCCAATGAATGTGCATGACGTCTAACTTATGGCACAGCCCTTTTACTTGAACTAAGAACCGTGACTAAAATATGTACGTCTTTAATACGCTAATTAAACAGTAATGCAGAATTAATCTTTTCCTACTAAAAAGACTCAAATATAGAAGGAAAAAGAAACCTAATTTTTCAGACTCAGGGTCTAATGATATCTAGTTGGAAAACTTCGCCGATAAGGGGCCCCTGATTAAAACTGAACTTTATCCTAGGCTTTGATCAGGATTGTAACGTGTGCTATGGCGTGCAAAAAGTAGGGTTCCGCCAAGTATTCCATCTAAAACAGCGAAGCCGCACTAGGCAGCAGAGTACTTTTAGCAAATGTACCGAAGGATTAATTTCTTTTTTTAAATTCCTGCATTTACAGAGTTCATTGCCGGAAACAGAGCTAATGGATGTCGAAGAAAAAGACGATCTGGAAGAAATTCCCGCCGAGGGTTAGTCAATTAAAGAAATAATCATAAAATGTTATTGTTATTGTCTTGCATTGTAGTCACTTGTGATGTATATCGGCTTACTGCTAGTCGAGTCTTTATAAGGAAATAGGGAGCTTTAGCAAGCAACCAAGACGACGAAAACAAAGACAGTATCAATAAATAATTGGTTTTATGAGCAAAACAACAGTTCTGCCCATGCATAACGCGTTTTAGTACATTTCCTCATTCAACAGGTCATTTCTATCCTTATCCTTTCGGTGAGTTGTTCTTTCAGCGGTCCACTGTCGTTAGGATTTTCTATTAAAAATAGATGGTTTCAGCCTCAGTAGCCATTGTATAAGAAGGTAGCATAGATCATCAGGGTGACTGTAGTCCTAGTCTCCGAAAACAGCCGTTTCTCCTCGCTCTTCGCCCCTGGGGACGTTTCGCGCGGAGAAACGTCTGCGACTCAGCGACAGAAATTCCATACTGATGCCGTAAATCAATGTTTACGTAATATATCCGGTGGTCATGAGGTTCCACATTCAAATTTGTTCAATTTTCAGGGGCACCCAACGACAGTTTTCGGAAGAATATCTGTTCGGAAGACGATTTGAGATCTAGAATTTTCGAAACATTTGTTGTAAAATTTCTTGCTTGCCTGCCTCTTCCAGGATTTTCGAACATCTAAAAAATGGTATAATTGCCCATTTCTAACGGATTTTTACCCTAAAAAGGTCACCTAGAATTTTCGGGAGCCCTTTTTCTGGCTGACATTTTCGAAAAGGTAAGTTTTCGCAGGTTACTGTAGTTCTAAGTAGGGCAGTCGAACGTTGCTGACAGTGACTAACGTTCCTACAACCTGTCTGGTAGTCATCTTCAGGGTAAAAGTGAGTTGTATTGGTTGACTATCTTGTTTGGTGCGTATATCTTGATAGTGTGCATCCTTGCTTCTAGACTTTTTATTCCACTGTCCCGGTTGTTCTGATGTTTTTCGGGTAAAGAATACTCATGTGAATCGCTTCATAAATAACGCGCCTGTTGTGGATGAGGATAACGATAATTAACTTTCCAAAGCAAGTCATGGGAAATCTCGATAATAATCTTTGACGCTGCCTTGTACAGGTCGTCCACTCTGGCCAACTTAACCGCATTCACAGGGAAACCACTGAGACGTGTTCAGGCCGACAAAATGCTATCTTAGTGTAGTTTCTTGTACACCTTGTTGTTGTTGCCCGGATAGATCTGTAGCATAAGATAAATGAAACGGCGGTGAAAGATTGTCTGAAAATAATGTCTCCTAAAAAAACGTTAAAAACGAAGAACAACAACAAATCAAACAGCAGCAAAGTTCAACAGAAGTGTAACTTAGTTTTCTTTTTGGGTTTTCAGATAAAGAGCCTCTCATCAATAGTGAGGATTTGGACGTAGATTCCAAAGAAATCACTGATGGAGAAGCGAATGAGGATGAACTGGACGAACCCGCTGTAGCTCCAGCACCTGATGGTAATATTTTTTGTTATAATTTGGCCCTTCTTTGTTCACTTGGCAAAAGACTTTAATTATAAATTAAATACTCGACGAAACGCCGAGGCGTTTCCGATGCGTCGTATTTTCGAACGTAGCGTTTATTTCAAAATCACATTTCCTAAACCGTTGGATGCTTAAGATGCTTAAGGTTTAATGTATGGATGGATAAATGGTGTAGATTACTCAGTTGCACGAGGCAGTTTGTTTCTTATAGTCCTCGAATAAACGCCGCATTCTTTCAATTCAGGGTGCGCACGCGGTTCATTCGGAGGCGGATGTTTATTCGAGGAAGGTTTTTTATTCTCGTGCACAATGTAAAGCTATTTTTTTTTCTCATAACGAAAGAGTATGTAAAGTTATGAAGTAAAAGTTATGAAGTAAATCTGCAAGATCATTGTTCCACGTCTTCTCCCACGTGCTTGCCGCGTGAGAGAAAACGCTCTCAGAGAGCAAGAGTACAGCTGCCGCTCTGTACTGGTAACTCTTGCTTACGGGTTAAAACAACCGCTCTATGAAAGCCTTCTTGCCATTATAGGCTTAGTAAAGTCAATGTTTGGTTCCTGTTGAAATCTCACTGTCGAGAGATATACCGCCAAACATGTAATCGATCGGTGGCATGCCTTCATTTTTTCAAATTAACTTCCCCTTAATCCTAAAATGCTTAAAATATAAATGGATGCAACAATCAAGTTGATATTCATTAGAATTGTAACTTAATTGATTAGTTAATTGATTAATATTTTTATTGATATTATGGGTGACAAATTACTCCTCCGAAATTTCAGGGCTGATTTATTATTTCACATTTAAAAAAAGACAAAATTGCCATGGCAACGTCACTTACTTTACAGTACCAAGATGGCGGCAAAGTTTTTAAAGACGATGTCAGGGCAATAAAAGACGCTTTAGAAAAACTAAACACAACGAAAGAAAACACCAAGAAGGATTCTATTAGGTATTCTGTCGAAAAATTCTTAAAATCATGACTGACTTAAGCCAGTGCGCGGAGTTCTACTATCGATAATCAATTTGAGAAACATATCAAAAACCTGCGATTGTGAGCGTAATTTGTCATCTATAATATCAATAGGTAATCACACATATGATATTAATAGGTAATTACACCTCCTACTTTTTAGATGAAAAATTTTCTGTCAATGGCGAGGAGTTAAGAGAAGAAGATTTTGATGAAGATCCCACAGAAGTTATTGATGGAGAACCACAACCAGATGAAATGGAATCGCCCGCTAAAGTTCACCTTGGTTACGGAAGTAAAACTTATAATCATGTTTTCTTCCGTTTCATTATTTAGTGAACAAATAAGGCTCAAATACTCGGAATGTAACGTCTCTTTAAATCAACCTCTTCGGTCTTAAAAAATATGCAACATAAAAAAGAACAGCCTAATTTAGTTTTGAAAAACACTCGAAAGCAAATATAGAATGGTACCTAAAAAACGTGGGTCTCTGAAAAATTTGGCCCAATCTCGAAATCGTGATAGGTCTCGGGTAATGTTGTGTCTCCGAGTCGGGACATTTCTGTCGACTGGTCTCGGGAGTCGTGGATTTGTCGTTTTTTCTTTCCGTTTGGTCTTCATCATTCCAATTTTTCAGAGTTCATGGGTACAGCTTATCGAACTGATCTAGTAGATTAAAGGAGCTGTGTCACGAAATTCAGGCAAATTAGGAAATTACAAAGTGCCCGTTAAATTAAGAGAAACATAAAAATAACCGCTTAAAACTTTAAAGGAAGGTTAAAATAACATAACAGAAACAAGAGATGCCACGGATGGGCAAAACTGAAGAAGATTGAAACGGATTGAAATTAGGGTTTTGGAAACTGTTCAGCTTAACAGTTTTTCAAAGTTGATCCCTGCTGCTTGCAACTTCAAAAATAATGCTCTGGAGAGGTATTTGTTTGTCTGGGATCTCTGATTTTGTCATGTACATGTAATTTCTTTACTTACTTTAGCGATTGAGGGCGAGTGATTGGCAAAATTAAACAAAATGAACTGGACTGCTGTGATACAGCTCCTGTAAGACAGTGAAACAAGACAAACCAGTATTCATGTTTTGGTGCGCTTAGCTTCCCCCGCTAACTTCCATTGCCTTTTTCGGTCATTTTGTTAAGCTTTCTATATCGAAATTATCGGCCGTTAGATTCTCGGGCTAGTTGTCGTAAGCGACCATGATCACTTTAATTTTGAGCCGGATAATTAAACTAGTTTCCTTGTTTTAAATGTCCAGTAAGCGACCTTTATTTAATTAATGAAAACAAATTGCAATATAAAAAAATTGCAATTAAACTTCATATCACGGATAGGGAAAGATATTGCAATGTATTAATTTTAAGTTAGTGAGCTTGCAGAATTTCGCTGATAATAGTCGTTAAATATGCTTGGTGTAGATAAGTAAAATCCATATACTAAGGATACTAAGGTCCTATGCGACAACAGGTATTCTAGTACACACTACTGAACTATGTCAAACGTTTTATGAAGAACTCATGGATATAGAATGCACTGTATTTTAGACTCAATTATAACCATATATTATATATTATTTCTAGGATGGAAAAAAATTCCCTACCACTGGTGTACAATACAAGGGAGAAAGTTTTTGAGTGGAAAAAAAGGCGTGAAACAATACTTTTGGCAGTGTGCCCGCCAATGTAACAAAATACGAGGATGCAATGCGGTTGAAATGTGGTTTGCTTACAACTGGAACTGTTACTGGTGTACGAGACCAGATTTGATCCGACCTTATACCAACAAACATGATCTCGCCTACCCAGCACATGTGTGGGTGCGACGTAAGTCACGACTTTCATTTGGTATTCTCAAACTCATGAAGTATTCATGCAGTCAAAAACCAATAAATGACGACCATTCGGGTCAGGTGAATGAATCTTGACAACTAATGAAACACCAGAGTTTTCATCTGAGGTGAAACATGTTTTTCATCTAGCTGAGATCAAACACTTGCATTTTAATGAGATGCTTTATTGATTAACACAACTCATGGAAACAATGCAAACACTCTTTTTTTTCTATAAGAATATATTTTATATTATAAGAATATCGAGTCTGAAATGTGTAAAATTTTAAGAATATTTAAGAATAAACCCGAGGCTGGGATTTCGAAAAGGATGATTATTTTGAGTGCTAATGACAGTTCGATGGACGGTACATGAAATACATATCTATAGTATACAGGAAAAAAAAATGAACAAGCCGCTAAAGGGATATGATAAATTCTTTATAATTCAAGAATAATACAAGAATATTTTCAAGGTAAAATCGGCAGAAAAATAGGAATATTCAGCCTGGCCCGAAAAAACAACATTCTTATATATTAAAAAAAAAAGATTGTACCAGAGAAAACGTGTCACCCCATAATTTCTTATTACAGACGAGAGCACGAGGCCATAGGCCGATCGAGTGCTTTCATCTGTTCTGTTTCTAATTGTTTGGAACCCGTGATAAAGCACCTCCCCTCGTTCCTGACATATCACTTCTTCACTGTTTTACCTTTTTTGTGCTTTCCAAAGCAAATTAATAATAATAATAATATTTATTTATTTATTCAATTTTATGACACTCTTATCAAATAATTTTTACTCAGGTTTTTATTATTATTTATTTATTTTATTTTATTTTTTTTTGCGCAAATTATTGTGTAATTGTTATCATAAATTTTAGTCGATACTGCGGCTGGTTACGGTTTGCCGCCCAGCCAAAGCTTTTATTTTTTACTCTGGGCATCCAGACGTTTGTACTGCCATAATAATAATAATAATAATAATAATAATAATAATAATAATAATAATAATAATAATAATAATAATAATAATAATAATAATGGAAACTTTATTTCTGAACATGTATTTGAATAATTATAAAAATAATAATACTAATACTAATTATAATTATAAACAATTTGTCGAGCTGCAGAAATGCATCAAATTTTAAGGTGTATATAGTACTTAGCAACAGCTGGTTTATGTTGAAACCTTATTTATGTTTCCTCTTCAATGAGGCAATGTGTAACCGCGGCAGGGTTTACTAGATCAGTCGGTGTCGCAGTGGGAGGCAGTACATAATTTATGTAGGTTCGGACTAGCACTCAGGGTTTTAAAAACTATTGGAGCCTACTCACTCAGTACCCGTAAAGGAGAACAAATATTCAGATTTTGAAAACGATACAGGTCAAGTGACTGACGAGCGACACCCGGAATCTACTTTTATTTCCCCTTTTAACCACTTATCGCAAGGATCCAACTGGCATTTACTATGAGATATAAGATCGGTCTTCCGAATGACAAACAACAAATAACAACAAACTTTATTACAACATGAATTACAGGGGGAGAGGTATCTACCGGCAAGTAGTGATAGCTAATCGCGGCAGGTAGTTACTAGGACAAGATATTAGACGGTGCAAATACAAGAGATAAAATGAAGTTACACTTACAAATACAGCGCGAGATACAGGAAGTTACAGCTGATACAGAACTAAAGTTACAAGGTCATTGCAAAATGATCAATATTAAATGTTTTTCGTTATATCAGTAATTGATGTCGAAACATCTAACACAAACATCGACCTGATAACTAATCACGAAGGGATTGCTAAGTGCATGATTATATATTATTTTCTTCACTGTGAACTTTTTTCCTTTTGCCGTTTCAAAGAAACTCTTCCAGGGAAGAACCCGTGTGACTGGCCCGTTGGGGTATGTACCTATCATAAGGACCCCTGTCCTCCGGATATCCCGTATCGCTGCTCTCGGCTTGACTATGGATGCAAGGTTCCGACAAATCACTGCTGCTGTCGCAAGTAAGCTGATGATACGCAATATAACATTTTGATAAGAAACAGGAGCATTTATATAGAGGATATTACAGGTGCACGGAGATACGAAATCTGAATGTATTTCAACCCGACGGGGAGAAGAGAATTTTTTTAAGCCGTCATGTAATGTTCTGTTTATTATATAAACCAAACCATTTCACTTTCATAGTTTTTGCTGCGAAAAGAGCGATTTATTTTATAGCCATAGCAACGGTGATCTTTTCACATGTGAAGTTAACGTGTTATCTTTTTATCTTGGTCGTGACTAAACTTTAGAGACCCCTCCAAGCTGTTGCCACGGTAACGACAAAGAGCAGCACATTAAGAGCATCACCTATATATTAAGTATTATCAATCTTATCCAAGTGGGAGATTCCTTTCGAGCCATCAAACTTTGCTCTTCCTATCAAATAAATGTTAACATGGCGCAGATTTTCCTTAATTTTACGACCGTACCGGGTAAAGTGCAAGGTCAAATTGGTAGATATGCTTGTTTGATATTAATGAATGAACGTTTTTATTATTATTATTATTTTTTATAGGCCATGGATTGGTCGCTGACTGGCATCACCAAACGTCTGACGCTTTAATTTGGTGAAGTAGCTGAAACCGACATATGTTATAATACCAAAAGTAAAAAATACAAGCTAAGGCTTCAAGCTGACTGCATCACCGAGAGAAAATGAAGCAAAAGAATGCGAAAGGTCCTTACGTCGCTTATTCAACGTAAACACAAGCTTAAAGACAATTTTAGAAACGTTTCATAACAGTCATACAGGCGAAGAATAATTTTGATATATTTTTGGTCAAAGCTAAATCTTTTGCGACTTCTTCTTCTAGAACATGATCTCAAATGACTTGGAACAGTCAAATCTGACAAAAGCATCTATAGCCGAGTCCATTTTCTCTCGGTTGGCATCATTGAAAAGATAAACTTTTAAGACGGAATCCAGCAAAATTGAGTAGTTTCAATTTTCAGTGGACAAAAACCTTGTACCAGTAAACAATATCGCATTCTTTTTACATTTTTCACCAAAGAAAATTTAACACCAAAGAAAATTTCTCATGAGAGCCCGAGAAAATAAATGTCAAATTTCACGAAATGACACCTTACACATGAAATTTTCAGTATTTTAGCTGTGTTTTCACACTCTTTGTGAAATTTGACATCTATTTTCTCGGGCTCCAATGAGAAATAATCTTTGGTGTTGTTACAGATAACTAATTTTATTATATGGCTGAGTCTGTTTTCGCCATGCGATTGGTCAATTTGCGGTCCGTAACTTGCTATAAGGACCAAAACTTTTAAAGAAAATGTTCATTTCGGAGGTCTAAATCTCTTTACCTCGGAAAAAATGTTTAAATAAAGTTATAAGACGCCTGTCGACCTTGAGGACTTGGATGTTGACTTTGGCCTTCAACATTTTAAACTGTGTTTATTTATGAACGAAGGCCATGAAGAAACTATTTCGTAATCTTATCGAAGAGGATTCTAGTCGGTGTTTGAAAATTTTATCGTAGTACACAGTTAAGAAGACGAAAATCGACTGGGAGAGATTCGAGATGTTTTGCCTAAGAGAAAATGAGTATTTCCTTCAACAAATATGATAACAAACATACCTGCACCATCATCTTGACAAGCTTCTTTGCCATTTGCAGTGTTTTTCAAAGACCAACGAAAGAAAGATAGAAGCGAGTTCGAGCCAGACACAATAATGACCAGTTTTCAAAAGACTCCAGCGTCACACTAACGAGTGAATACTTACACTGCTCTTAGTTTCCACTGAATATATTTTGAAATCGGTATGTAAACCCTGAGGACTGGAATGTTGACTTTGCCTTTCCAAATTTTAACCTACCTTTGTTTAATGAGAACGAAGCTTTTGTAGAAACTGAATCGTAACCTTACCGAGGAAGAGAATTCTAGTCAGTGTTTGAAAATTTTAACGCAGATCACAATTGAAGACGAGAATGAACTGGCAGAAAGAGAGGTTTTCCAAAAACAATTAACGAGCGAATCCTTCGACAATGACAGCAAACTTACCTTGAAAAGCTTCTTTGCTTTTTGCAGTGTTTTTTTACAAGGACAAACGGAGGAAAGATGGAAATGACTTCTAGACAGACACAGTTTCGGTTTCCAAAATACTCCAGCGTTACATTAAAGAGCTAAAACTTACAGTGCTCTTAGTTTTGACCGAATAAACTTTTTTAACATGGCGAATTTGTTTTTTCTCGCTTTTGTTATGTGTTATTGTTTTCGTGCGCCAATGAAAACTTTCTTTTCTGACACCTGTCAAATGACTCTCAAATCGTGCGTCCTGCACTTGTTTCCGGTCTCCCAAAACAGGCTTCGCGCTTGGGCCATAAATCGACGGAAAAAAACTCGGTCCGTAATTTACAGTACGGACCGAAAACTCGGCTAATAAGAGGTATATATCTATAGCCCTTGAAAAATGTAAAAAAAAAAAAAAAGGCGATATTGTTTATTCTGGTACAAGGTGTTTGACCACTGAAAATTAAAATTACTTTCAATTTCCTGATGGATTCCGTCTTAAACGTTGATTAATATTTGAAAAACTAACGCTAGAATATTTTGCATTGGTTTAAATAAAGAACAATCTATACATGCAGACTGTTTCTTTTCTTTTCTTTTTTTTTTTTCAAAGTTCAACCGCAGAATAAGGGACTGAGCTACGTTGCCTTACGTCGATAATTCGAGCTCCGTTACATATAAGCTTCTCTACACTTCTCCGCCAACTGCTATCTTGAAAAATCTGATTATCGTATTTATTCGAATAAGCGCCCAACCTCGAATTAGCGCCCACCTCGAATAAGCGCCCAGCCTCGAATAAGCGCCCACCCCCTTCTCCTCCCAATCAAACTCAAATAAGTGCTCACCCCCACCCCACCCACTTGAGTGAATAAATTCTAATAATAGACTTCCCCGAGGACGGCGTTTCCTTCAGCGTATTCCACAGAAACCTTGCTTTGTTACTTCTTAGCGTTTTGTTATTAGCATTAATATGTTTTGTTGCAAAATAAACATACTTCACTTACTCAAAATGGTGAAAATTTAATAAGCGCCCAGCCTCGAATAAGCGCCCACTCTCAAGGTCCAAAAATTTAATAAGCGCCCAGGGCGGTTAATCGAATAAATATGATTGAACCATAAAATACGAGTCTAAAGACAACGAAAACTAAGGGCCAAGCTGACAAAGAACTTTTAGAAATGAACTGAAGACGCTGTCAAAAGGGTGATCAAACACACCGCGCGTGTAGCTGTGGACATTTGATTGGCGTTCTATCGCTGACGTAACTTCAACGTCACAATATTTGAACGCGAGTAATTTTCGCGCATTCGCGCGCGCATTCATTCAAAAAAGACGATCAAGATGAAGGGATTAGAGAATAGGGTGTACCTATCAGCAGCACTTATCTGGACTTAAGCATAAATTCTGGAATGGATTTCACGTAATACTGATATTTACTATAATTAGTGTTATAGTGAAACCTCTATTAAGCGAACCCCCAATTAAGCGTACACCCTCTATTCAGCGGACACTAAACCGGCTCCCGAAATTTTTAATTACGTCTTATATTTCCCTTATAACGAACCCCTATTCAGAGGACACTTTTATTAAGCGGACGCGGACACCAAAATAAATTGTATTTGGCTAATTTTTATTGTTAATAACCTCTATTAAGCGGACAGCGGACCGAATTAACAATAGTAGTATTGGATTACGTCCTTGAAAAACGTGCTGTAAGTCGATTAATAAAAGTAAATCAATACATTTAGCTGTCGATAAACTGTAGATTATACCCAGAGTCTTGCACAAAGTACAGCACGGCTTCCTTAGCTTCCTTAACAACATGGAACTTAATCACATTACAGAGTAACCGTTGAAAGTTAAACATTGCGCAATTTTTACAAACCCTGTTAAGCGGACACCCTCTATTAAGAGGACGCTTGGGAAGGTCCCGAAGGTGTCCACTCAATGGAGGTTTCACTGTGTTATTTTTTTTTTTTCTATAGTTAGGTCTTTTTATTGGGAAATTGGTACGGAAAATTAACAGCAATAGATTTATATCTCGCCTCATGGATCAGGACCTTATCTTACTAAAATCAGCGCATTGACTTTTATGCCATCCACTGGGACTTTTGAATTGATTTTTTATAACTCTATTGATATGGACGTTTTCTTTATATGAATATTTTACTGAAATTTTGTGTGTAGTTTTTATAAGATTTTAATAAAGTATTCTTTTTATTATTGAAAAAAGTTATAGTTTTCAAAATTGTCACGGTACTTATTTACTTATTTATCTTATATTTGTTATTGCTTAAACATGACATAAAGAGTTCAGTGATTGTACAGTGGGACTCCGAAATAACGAAGAACATTTTTTCTAGTCCCTTGGCCTTTCATTATGTCTAGCGGTATATATGGTGATGTGGTTTAGACCCTATAGTGTAGGATGGTAGTGCAAATAAGACTCCACCATATGGCTGAATAATTTTAGTCTTTTGACTAGAGTTGAACTTTCATATTTTCAGTGGCACAGCATAATGATCAAAACACTGACAACTCATCAGTTTTAAGGAGTCAAAGGGAGGAGGAATTCTTTCCTTTTACATCTAATCCAACTTTTCAATCTTGGTAATAAAAAAGGCTAGTGAGCCTCACACTTGCAACGCAAGGTAACTTCCTAGCATACGCTAAAACTTCAAAAGACTCCTTTTTAATACATGGATATAAACAAATTGCGATTTTTATGAAGAGACGGTAATTTCCCTTTTATTCACTTCACTTAAAGTAATTTTTAATTTTTTAATTGTTATCGTGTAGTCGTAATTTACGCACGGCCCCTATTGATACCAGCCAATGGCTGATAGGGCCACTCTGCCTAAATAAAGTTGACTTGACTTGAATACAGTGGAACCTCGATATAACTAGCCTCTCTAAACGTTTTAATCAGCGTATAAAGTACGATAAGTTGATTGGAGCATTGATCCAGTGTGAGTAAGGCGCAATAATAGCTAGCCAGAAAATCCCTCATTGAAATTTCTACATATCTACACCTACATGCATCTACGAGTACTTGACAAGGGTTACCAATTGCGCCAAAAACAACCAAATAAATAAATTAATTAATTAATGAGACAAACGATAGCCTTGTTTCTAAACAATTCAGAAAATCATATAGCGATGTTAGTGGAACGAGAAGTCAAAAAGTTATTTTTCTCGTATATGTCTTGTTTTAAGATATCTTTGTACAAGGGCAAATATAATGGCATATTTGAATCACATTTGTCTCACTTTTCCTCAAGACAAATGTGATGACAGATTTGTCTCACATTTGGGACATTTGATGGCTGGACAAATCTGACATCAGATTTGTCTTAGATTTGTCTTTGAGGCAAATATCATTAAATTCAATTTTTCGTCCAGTGGTAGGACATGTAAGTTAACTTACACACAATGTTAGTCGGAAATACGAGTACAATGAATAGAGTGCAGTGAAAGGGAAACCCCATATTCGAGTTGAGAAATTCTCAAAATACTGAATGAGCGGATAGAAACAGCTGAAAACAATATTTATGGATAAAACTAGCGTGAATCATCTACTGATTTCCTCTTGCTATTAGAATGAACAGTAAACAGGTAAAGGATTAACGAGGTCAACCATATAATAAAAAATTTGCGTTTGTCATTATCCCTAAACGTGATTAAAAATCTCACTATTTTCTTTTTTATTTATCTTTTATCCACTCTTCTGATTTCTCACATATGTGTTCTTCAGACGGAGTATTGGCTTGAAAGATTTAAAGCGTAGTTTTAAGTATAATCGATATTGCTATGACAACAATAAACAAAAATCTTTGAAATTGGTAAAAGCCGAATTTTGTGTGATCGAGACCAGCTACTGAAAATCCAGCACTAGCAGGAGGGAGGAGGCGTCTCTATTGTTTTCGGGTATTTGTCTGTGACCGAGTCATCATGACAGTGTGACGTCACATAGCAACGACTCAGAGCTTCGGGTCGCTTCATCAGTTTAGCGTCGAGAAGCCATCGAAGTTAAACAAAGAAAGGGCTAATACAGGCTTTTGTTCAGCGTTGGTAAAACAATTTGTCGTAAGTGTGCAAGCTTTGTTGCTTATATTGTTTGTGTGTAAAAGCTGTGTTTGTTTTGTCCGCACGTTTGTGTTAAATTCTACTCCAATCCACTTTGGGTCATTGACGTGGGCGCCATTTTGAACTCGGAACTAGATAAATCCACCCTAAACGTCAGCCGTTTTCTCTTTAAATTGCCAACCAAATCTCCTCAGAAGAGGAGGTTTAATTCATTAATAACAGAAGTTTGATACGATAGTTGATTTGTGTTGATGTAACGAGCCATTTTGCTCATCAATCCTTTTGAATGTGAAGATACTGTGTTGAATCGCGTGTAGTTTCTTGGCTTCTTGACTGTCTGGGGTAAATTTTGCAGACTTTAACGCTGTCATTGTGTGTTAAGTTTGCTTGTTTGTTTACTGCTTGTGTCTACGGTTTGCTGGTTAATCTGGTGCCCCTCTGTTTTGATCAAAGTAATTGCTGGCCTTTACTGCTTTGAAAATTTACTGCTGTTGGTTGTTTTATTCTGTTTTGTTATTGTTGGTAAAATTTGCTATTTGCATTTGTCTGCAGTTTTTTTGTTGGCTTTTTCCCCGTATTTTACTTGCCTGTGTCATTGTTGTTGTTGCTTGTAAGCAGTGTTGTTGGCTTCTGTATTTGCCTTTTAAAAAGATTATTCTTTTAATTAATTTAGTGTGACTATTACTTGAGAAAAAAACAATAATAATAATATTAAAGACATATAAAAGAGACAGAAAAAAATATTTAAAATAAAAAGTACATAGCTTAATTTAAGAAGTTATATTATTTTAAAAAGGAAAAATTACTTAGGGAGAAAATAAATAAAGTAAGATCATATTTATATAATATATATATCTATAATTATTTTCTTTAGAAGAAGAAAACATCATGATGAATAAAAATATTTTATTATGTATATATTTGACAATGGGCTTCTTGTTGTATGATTTATATTTTGACATTGCTTGGCTTTTTAGTCCTCACAATCATAAGATTGTGTATCTTGTAATGGCTGTTGTGCGTGTCCATATTGTTTTTGCAATGGTTGCGATATCTTTCCCAGGCCTTTCAAACCTTCCATGTGCCCTCTGCATCCCTTCAAAGCCCCCCATCTTTTTTGGAGACACAAATCCCTCACTCCTTTGAGTTACAAAGTAAAACTTTTCATGTAGTAAAAATGTTGGTCTCCTCTGTTTTGTCCTTTTTTATTATCCACTTCAAAGTGAAGGTAATTCAAAACTTCAACCTCTCAAACTTCCTTGTTTCCCTTTTAGCCTTAACCACCATTCTTTTCACACTGACGTTTTTGTTTTACAGGAAAGTATTGTGCATGGTTTCTTTAAGGCAAATGATTAAGTATAGATCAACTTTAAATTGTTTGTTAGAAATGCTTCTATTCCCTGCTGTTATTACCTTGAAATTAT